ATAGAGGTATATAAAATCATGAGTGGTGTGGAGAGGGCGAATAAAAAAAAATTATTTATTAGTTCCCATAATAGAAGAACTGGAGGACATCAAATTAAGTTAATGGGTAGCAGGTTTAAAACTAATAAAAGAAAGTTCTTCTTCACACAGCGTGTAGTCAACCTGTGGAACTCCTTGCCAGAGGAGGCTGTGAAGGCTAGGACAATAGAAGAACTAGAGGACACCAAATGAAGTTAATGGGTAGCAGGTTTAAAACTAATAAAAGAAAGTTCTTCTTCACACAGCGTGTAGTCAACCTGTGGAACTCCTTGCCAGAGGAGGCTGTGAAGGCTAGGACTATAACAGAGTTTAAAGAGAAACTAGATAATTTCATGGAGGTTGGGTCAATAAAAGGCTATTAGCCAGGGGATAGATATGGTGTCCCCGGCCTCTGTTTGTCAGAGGCTGGAGAAGGATGGGAGGAGACAAATCGCTTGATCATTGTCTTCGGTCCACCCTCTCTGGGGCACCTGGTGCTGGCCACTGTCGGCAGACAGGCTACTGGGCTAGATAGACCTTTGGTCTGACCCAGTACAGCCGTTCTTATGTTCTTATGCATTATATCAATAGTGTGTAACATATATTTGCATCTGTTCCTATTTTGGATTTGTTCCAATACATGTTTCCATCCTATACAAGGAGCTGCATATGAGTTATGAAGATCAAGGGCTAATCCTTAGTATATCCTCAACATTGATATTAGAGATGCCAAGATGGAGAGATATCATTTTCCTCCCCCTTGAGCCACAGCCAGATCTACTCCAGGTCTGTTATGCCAAGTGCTGCCACCTGGTGGCAGCAAGGAGCTTGAGTTTTTGCTGTGCTGTGATTTGCATTTCTTGGTCTCCTTTTCTTTTTATGGGTGTGAGAAGGTCAAAGGGAGACTTTAACGCCTCTCTCAGACTTTTTCTGAATATAGCAGATTTGTGCTTAATCGGGCCAGAAGGGATTAAACAATCTGCAAAATAATAAAGAGTAGATTTGTTAATGATCACATTTTCATCGATAAAAAACATGTTGAAACTGACAGGAGTCATAGCAGGGATTTAACTGATAGAGTGGTATTCATACCCTCTCACTGTGTATTGCTAAACCATCCCTGCTAAGAACAACTGGCTAAGAACCGTGGCCGGTCATAAAGATACTTCCGACACGTAAATGTGTCATGCTACCCTTGGAATTCACCAAATGCCATGTGTTTTCACAGAACAGTTCCAGGGCATTATCCCTATGATCTTTTTGAAAAAGAGATGGACATGCCACCTGTAATGGCAAGAGGAGACCAAATATTAAAATGTTAGATTCATGCCTGGCTGAGAAGGAGAGAAAAATATCAGGCCCTGTTCCAAAAACAGAGCAGTAGACGTTCTCCAGACATTGCCAGGTGTTCTATGAGGCTGGATGGGACTCTCAGAGAAACACAGTGAATCAAAACACACAGTGGGCTTTTCCACAGTGTTTGTTCAAGAAAAAGGCCTAAGAATTAGGGTAGTTTGAAAATTTTCCATTCAAAATCTTTTTTGATCCAACACAGCGTTTTCGACTAAACAGAATAAAAATGTCTGCACAACAGCCTTCCTTCTTGTCGAAAAACTAAACACCCAGCAAAGGAAAAGTCCTGGGAGTTTGGCTGAAGACTGAAAGTAAAAAATAAATATGATTAGGCAATGTCCCAGCAGTGCCTTGGGGGCGGTATACTTCTGGTATTTAATAGGCCTCATTCAATAGGCCTCCCAGACTGAGGATGGCCAGCACCCTAGAAGCTGAGCAAGAGGGGAGACCATGGTATGTACATCCTGAGAGATATGATAGAGATAATCCAGCCAGGGAGACTGGCTTATAGAGGAGCATGGGCACACAAAGCGTCCTAGCTGCAATTCCTACAAGGCACCATTTCTGAAATGTGCAGTTTTCGCCTTAACGTTTCCAGGTTTTGCTATTTTGCTGGAAAGTCAAAATGTTGTAAGAGGGTGGCAAGGGGGGGGGGGATCTTTGGGGTAGCTGTAATAAGGATACAGCCTGTTGTTGTGTCTTGGTCCCTGGCCCCTCTGTGAAGAGCTGCGCAAGGATGTCTTTTGTGAGGCTACCCCCTGTTCCCAAAGCAGAGACCACTCATTCAGTGGGACTTTGTGCAGATGCAGGCGTGTGGAGCTAGTAGACTCTGATGCAGATCAGCACCTGGAATGTTAAGCAAAAGCAATTCATTGCAGGGGAAGCATCCGCGGAGGCAGTCAGGTGTCTGTCTCCTGGGTTAAAGGGACAACACCAGTGTGTTGAGCATCTCAGTTCCCCTCTAGGCTTGGACCTGATTCACCATTGCCTTCCTTCAGTTTGGCACCATAGAACTCCAGGGATTTCAGTGCGGTTACTCTGGTGTAACTGCAGCAATGCATTCGTGAATCAAGTATTTCCCCTACACTCAATGGTTTTTTTAAACTCTTCACCTTTGGTACAGGTGGTTGTACATGTGGAGATGCTGTAAGTATTTGCCATGTAAGCGTTTGGTGATATTGTACTTAAAATACCAGCTGGGGGGCACACTACACTGATAACAACAATGGGAATTTTTAGGGAAAAAGTCTAGTGCAGACTCCACCAGTCTCTTACCATAAATAAGAGAGACGATTTGGGGGCTATAATGAAAATGCTGGTGATTCTTTATTGAGGCTACTGGACATAGACAAGATTCATCATTTCTCTTTGGCTTTCCAGATCCCAGGCTGACTGAACACAGTCTGTGTTGACCAATGTCATCCACAAAAAGTCTCTTCAAGTCCTAACTGAACTACGGAACTTTAATCCGAAAGGAAATCTCCAAATTCTAATCTTTATTTTTTTAACAAATCCACCAATCTATCACCAAGCAACTAAAACTAAACATAAACAACCACTATTATTTCTGTAGAGCTAACGCTCTTTGTGTTTTGCCTGGGCAAATCCAGCAGGAGGATTGAATTTGAACTAATAAACCCTTTCCTAGAGCCTTAGATCTGACTTGAGACTAGTAAACAAGTGATATGGATAAGCAAACTAAACAGACCCACCCTGGTTTGTGTTTCTTTGGTCACACTGAGGGGAAGTTAGGGTTTGCCAGATGGAAAAGAACAACATCAGCTAAGAGAAAAAAATCTTAATTTTCAAGCATCTGAGTTGAGATTGCAAGCAATGATGTGGAGCTTTGAGAAGCCCCTTTATAATTTTGGGGCAGGGCACTCCAATAGTTTGAAAAGTGGACATTTCTATGGAGAGGGTGCGGGGTCTGGGATGAAGGCTGGGTGCAGAGTGGAGCTCAAGGTATGGGACTGGGGTGCAGGAGAGGGTGTGGGATCTGAGAGGGATTTTGGGTGAAGGAGAGGATTGTGACATGGAGCAAGGGCTTGGAGTCCAGGAGAGGGTATGGGTGCTGGAGAGGATTCTGGCCTTGGGGAGGGACATGAGGGAGTGCAGGGTTTGGGAGGGAGTTGTGAACGGGAAGAGAAGGGTGCAGAGGGTCTGGGTGGTGACGTGAGGCAGGAAGGGATGGTGACCTGGGGAAAGGAGGAGGAAAGGGCTTGGGAGCCAGAGGTAGGCTCTGCCCGAGAGGTGCTTATCTAGATGGCTCCCACCCAGAGCCCTGCAGGACCCCATTTCCAGGCTGCTCAAAATGGCTCCCTGCTCCGGGCACTGTGGGGAGGAGAAGGCTTCACACACTGCCTGTGCCCCCTAGCAAAATCTCTCAGCTCCAACTGAGTTTCTGCAAAGCCTCCCCCATCCTAGTGCCCGGAGCAGAGTGCTACAGGGGGGCAGCCAACCACTTAAAGCTGCATGGAGCTGCTCTCCGTCTAAGGACCCAGCAGGGCGGCCCACAGGCCAGATCCAGCAGCGTGGTAGGTCCAATGTGGCATGTTGGCCACATCTTGCCCAACCCTGCTTTATACTCAGTGACAGCTTGAGCACAACTACTACAAGGAAGTGGAGGGAGGGGGTGGGGAGTGACCAGCAGGAGCAGTTCTTCCAGGCCTGGATCTGAGAAAAGTCTGGGTCCAACAGTTGCTCTGTGTAAAATAGTGAGCCACACTGGTACAGTCAGCAGGGTGGTTAACGCTGGTGAGGAGAAGGCAAGATCAGCACTGGGTGATCCTTGGCCAACCTAAGGACCAGTTCTTGTCCAAGTGACAAAAATAGGCAATGAGAGAGGGTGACAAAAAAAGGGAGAAGGGGGAGGGGAAAAGAAAAACATAAGAACGGCCATACTGGGTCAGACCAAAGGTCCATCCAGCCCAGTATCCTGTCTGCCGACAGTGGCCAATGCCAGGTGCCCCAGAGGGAGAGATCACAACAGGTAATCCTCACGTGATCCCTCCCCGTCTCCCATCTCCAAAGAAACAGAGGCAAGGGACACCATTCCTGTCCATCCATGAGGGGGGAGAAATGAAAGGGGGAGTTAAAATTAAAACAAGAGAGAGAATGAATGATTGAAGAGGCAGGGCTGACTAGGATCATTGATTATGGTGACCAGGACTTGGGAAAGAAAATGCAGATGGAAGAATCTTGCTTCCAAATCTTGTCCAGGGCCTGTTACTACTGACCATGGTATTCGGGGTGTACCCGCCCCATTCACAGTATGCCTGGAAAATCTAACCAGTTAGAACATGTGTCCATATGCCACGTTTCCAAGAAGTCCTGGCCTGTAGTTTCAGGAGGCCTGTCCAGTTCCTTAACTAGCCAGTGAGCACATCTGCTGCCAATAGCCTCAGGCACTTGCCTGCCAGTGGTGAAAGAACACACTGCTGCTCCAAGGAGTGCCCCCACTCAAGAATCATGCCCCAGATTGGCGAGGTTCCTGACAGCAGCCACACTCTGTCCCTCCTTCCCCCTCCCCGCTAGGCGAGCCAAGGGAGGATTTGGCTCTTCAGATTTTATAGAACCTGTTCCAAGAACTTACAAATCAACTACATGTGGTTCTCTCTCTCTCACTTCAGAGTTTGGACTTGCATAACCCTCAGTAGACGGGCTTCCCAGAACATTGCACCCATGGCGAGAGCACCGGAATAGAGCCTGTGAGATTTTTGTAAGTTGGAATCAGTCTTACACATGGCACAAGTTTTCTCAAAAAAAGAAAAAAAAAGCCTAAATATATTTCCTGTACAGCTGGTTAGTTAAGCCAGCACAGCTCTCCATATGTATCAACAGATGTGCGTTTACAGGCCTATGGAATCATGTCTGGGACATGACGATTTCATCTTCAAGGAAGCAAATACTCTTTAATGATTTTACTTGAGATACAAATCTTTAGGCTGGATTGTGTCAGTCTCTACATAACATCACAGCAGAATCAGCTCAGTGATGAGTTAACTCATTCTCTCCTGCCTTGATTTTTGGACTGAGGATTTGTTACTTCTACGGGCTTACTGTTAATCAGCTGATAACACATTGGCAATGAGTTGTAGCTGGCTGCGACTGTGTTTCTCACAAGTTTGCTAGAGATAAAGTCCAAACAGATTGTGCTGAGCATCAATGATAAAGTCTCAGAACACTTACAGAAACCCAATCAGTTACCCAAACACTAGGTGCAAGACTTCTTTTGGTTAGGAGTCTGGAAATAATTATCATGAATCTATTCAAACCAACATACAGGTCAAATGGTTTCTTTAAGACTTGTTTGTACTAAAGTAAGTATTTATTGGGGTAACTGAAATTGCTAAAGTTACACATATGCAAACCCCAATCTACTGCACCAGTGCAATGTGGGTCTTACACCCATGCAGATTAATTTTCCAGTACATCAAACTGCACACATTTAGTTCAAGAGGACAAGCCCTTCACACTTTTTAATACTAGACCAGTCTTTCTGCTAAACTGCGTTACATCTACATTGCAAAAAAGCAGTTGCAGGAGTGAGTCTCAGAGCCCTGGTCTATAGATTTGGGCTCATGCTACAAAACCGAAAATAGCAGCTTTGATGTTCCCATTTGGACTGGCACTTGGTCTTTGAAACCCATTAGAGATAGGTGTGGGGGGGGGGGCTGGTACTTCTAGTACCATGCCCTGTGAGCCCAGACTATAGACCTGGACTCTTAGACTCTCTACTATGACTTTGGGGGAGAGGTTTGCAATGTGGACATACTCTGGCTGGTTTCATTGACTTTAAGATGATAGATAGTAACAGGGCCAGCCCGAGCCATTTTGGCGCCCCAGGCCCTAGGTGCACAGCACATGCGCGGGACTGCCCCCAGGGCGCGTAGGTCCGCCCCTGGGTGCACAGCGCATGCGTGAGCCTGCCCCCGGGGTGCGCAGGCCCAATTCCGGGCACACAGCGCATGTGCAGGCCCACCCCCAAGGCGCGTGGGTGGGTGCACAGCGCATGCGCTGCCTGGCCACCGCTGCTGGTGCAAAGCCCAGGGCCACCCGGGCGGACCGCGCCTGGCCGTGCAGGGCCCCGTGGCCGTGGGAGGAAGGGAACTGCGGGGGTTAATGCGGCCCCTGCCCCGGGTGGCCACTGCAGCCCTCCGGGAGCCGGGCACGCGGTGCCTGATGGCAGCTATAAGGGGTGCCGCGCGCCCCTTACAGCTGCCATCAGGCGTCCTCCTTCGGTTGGCACCCCGAGCAGCTGCCCGGCACGCCCACCCCTTAGTTCGGCCCTGCATACTAAGTGAGGGTCTGGCCCAAAGTGGTAATTTGTGCACCATTCTTCCCAATATACTTTCCCTAGTTTTTCAAAAGATGCACAGCATGATGGAAGCATGATTTAGATTTTAGTTGCTGGATTCCTCCTTCCCATTGTTACAAGACTGTCATGCACCCTTGAGACATAGCTCAGTATTTTCCAATGATCCACACTGGGAGACTACAATAGAGTACATAACAATATTAACCAGGAGATTAATTTCATATTACCCACTTCTGTGGGTAAGGGAATAATGCCTCACCACCCACATTATTATGGTATTTATTAATTTTTAAATGAGTCTGAAAGGGCAGCTTCTTTAGTGCCACTAATTCCCTCAGAAAGTTATCACTGACGTTTGAAACTGAGGGATTGCACAACTCTTTTATTGTAGTTTTTGGAACTGAAACCCGCAAGCATCACTGCTTTGAGCAATGCATATATGCTAAATTAAAATTAATATCCTCTGTTTAGTCTGTATTTAATTGGAAAGGTGCCTAGAATGACTAGGGAAACCAACTGCAGCATTTAAGGGATAAAATTGGATATAATTCTGCTTGAAAAATTGACTGTGTGCGTTGGAAAAAAGGATCGGAGACAATGAGAAGAAGAAGACTTACACCATCCAATACAGGCAGTCCCCGGGTTACGTACAAGATAGGGACTATAGGTTTGTTCTAAAGTTGAATTTGTATGTAAGTCGGAACTGGCGTCCAGATTCAGCCGCTGCTGAAATTGATCAGCGGCTGACTACAGGAAGCCCTAGGAAGAGTTGCTCTGCCCCTGGCTTCCTGGAATCAGCCACTGATCAGTTTCAACAGTGGCTGAATCTGGACTCCTGGGACAGAACAGCTGGGGCGCTGCCGGGTAGGTCCCCGCAGGACCAACCTGGCAGCACCCTAGCTACTCTACCCCAGGCGTCCCGCAACAAAAGCCTGGTCTGC